TTTATACTCATTCCAAACTGAGCCTAAAATAAAACTCACCGGTAGGAGTGAATGATTTGGGTCTAATATAATCCTGCATTGCATTACCAAGACTGGGTTTGATGACCAGCTATCCTTGGGCAAATTTACTTCTTTTCTTTGGTTTCCACCCAGATTTAGATAGGAAATGGATCTCTTTCAAAGTCTGCGGCGTGACTGATTCAGCCGGGTGCTATATGGCCCGATCCAAATGCCCGTTTGGAAGGGCGCTTGGGATGCAGCTTCTGGCATTCCGAGCTGGGCCCCACAGAAGCTGTGTTTGGTAAAAATCCGAAAAACCCTTCACTGTGTTCTGAACACTAAAAATGCAACTGAAATAAGAAGCTACTCTAGGTAATTTTTTCGCGGAACACAGGTGTTCAATCACCCTCGCGAAGGGGCTGCAAGATAAGTACGATCTTCTACTAGTAAAATACATTCCAAAACCCTACCAACATGATTTAATACAACACATGTTAGATCTCACTTTTATGATAAATCCTAGTATCATAAGGGTAAATTTCTTAACCCTTACGGTTTAGCTAATTGATTAAGTGTACCTTTACTCTTAAAAATTGACAAACCCTTTCCCTACTGTTTAGGACAATTGACTAACTCTACCCTTACGTTAAGGTCCGTTAAGATTCCATCAAAATTCATTTGCATGTGATATATAAATTTTTAAAATCCAATTTTACCCTCCACCTCTTTCAACAAAAGATTTAACCTCAAAGGTTGAAAGACCGAGATCGTTGATTAAAGACGTAGAAACTCTATTGGGATTGATCACCGCACTGAGAACCAGACAAATTAATGCCACTGCAACGAAGAGAATCAAACTAGTTAGTATGCAGTGAGCGAGAGAACCGGAATCCACATTTGAAAGTCTGACAACACAATTTCCGTAGCTGACATCTTCCTCTCCGGCACATGGAACAATGTTCATCCTTTAATTAGACCAAATCAACCCTGTCATTCTTCAATTGAACCCGTAATATGAACAACTTCTAAGCATATAAAACATTAAACCAAATAAAAAAAATGATTCGGAAAGCCTAACACCGACAACTCTGTTAATTGCAGAAAATTGCATAAGCCAATGTAACATAGAACAGAGAAGACCCTAGAAACTTCTTCCGCTTTTCAAGAACTTTATCAGTTTATCTGCTATAGGTCCCTTGCTACAAAGCAAGATATGCCAAAATTTCTTACACACTTCTAATAGTAATAGAACAGAGACAGCCCTAGAAACTTCTTCCACTTTTCAAGAACTTTATCTACCGTAGGTCCCTTGCTACAAAGCAAGATATGTCAAAACTTCTTATTTGCTTCAAGAGTTCAATTCAAGAGATTTCTCTAAAAGGCCATCGTCGATTGGCTTGAGTGAATGGTCCTGGTAATTCAAGTTTAATCCTTGCAAAATCGAGGAAGAATGTATTGGCGCCACTTGGAATGTTGATTGGGTTTAGGTTTCCCAAACCTATCTCGCACTCAATGGAGATGAAGATCTCGGTAGCAATATCATTTGATTTATGCCTAGTAGCTAGAACCAGAACATGGGCATTCCCACAACATTCTCAGTAAAAGGTTTGGAATATTCAAACCCAAATCGTCACCAATCAAGTACTTGCCATCACAGATCTATGCTACTAATCAACTCCTCGTCTCTCTACCATTTGCAATGCCAAACATTTAGGTCCCTTGTACGTAAAGCATTTGCCTTTGGAAAACCTGAATCTCTCCACACACCTACGCCACATATCGTATGCTCTACTAATACGGTTCCACTCAGTGATGCCGTTGGATTCGGATTAGATTAGGCGCATTCCCTGATTAGATCTCCTATCTTCCTTTCCACCGTCACCGCCATCACTAGAGAGCAAATGGTTGTTGGCCACCATCTCCTCCCAACTCGATGTTGTGTTCGTCAATAACATTCCCAATCCACACCCATCACGTACAACTATACCCTTCTCAACCAGGGCGTTAGTCCCTCAATCACAGACTACCTTTTCACAAATTCATTATTTTTTAAGTAAACCGACGGACAAGCACAAAATGCTTGATTTAGTAAATATTTCTGGTATTATTTTGAAAAATTAAAAAATAATAAAGGGTAAAATAGTTTTTTTAGTTTTTCTGTTAACGGATCCTAACGGTAAGAGAAGCATTAATCAATTGTCAAAAACAATACAAATAACATTAATCAATTTTTAAACAATAAAAGTACATTTAATCAATTAACTAAACTATAAGAGTAGTTTAAAAAATTTATCCATTTCATAATGATAAGATATTGGAACGTATTTTATTGACAGGAGATCCCAAGTTGGGGACATACTGAATTCCTATGACTAAGCTCGTAGTCGTTGAAGAATCCAACTCAAATAGAAGCTGTGAGGACCATTACAACTTCAAATAAGCGCACTTCTAGGGACCCATATCTCTGGGCCATCTATCAACCAAACTACAAAACTATTAATGGTTAGTAATCCTTTGGCATGCATACATCGATATTCCACATTATTATTTTTCAGTTCAAACTACAAACCCAGTATAATTAGCTCAAAATGACAACCATAATGAAACCCAGCAGCTGGTCATCAACTTTTAATGTTTTAGCATGGTGGAATATGCTGATGAGTCATCAATCAAATGGCAGATCTGCATAATTACAGTTTCTGTACCCTCGGCCTCAACAATGTTCCGCCCGATATGGGATCTGCTCTTCACAAATGGGCGCCTCACAGATACATTCATCGTGCATTAGAAACATTTCCCGTGAATTATCATTAATAAGTACAGAAAATGTTTCCAATACATGATATAATGTGTGTGAGACGCCAAGTGTGAGGAGCAGATCCGGTCTCGCTCCGCCTCCGCTCCATCTGTAGACATTGGTCCAGCCCTTCTTTTCAATTGGGGTCTGCTCCTTATAGATCTAGACTTTTTTTTTTCCCTTAATGGATTCTGCCAGGAACCCAACGAGCTGGCAAACAAGTGCAGGGTAGGGGCCGTAGGTCAGACCATCTATATGCTGACACAAGGACGACAAAGCACGAGGTCGTGGGCTTGGCCCTTCTTCTGCTGTTTCTTAGACTTTACAAAAGAGAATTTGTGACCGCCCATGTGGAGCAACCACGGCAAAGTGGCAAACAAGTGGAGAGAATAACATCGGAACACTAAGCATTACAAGTAAATTTCATAAAACTAGTTCATAATCGGAAACGGAAAGGAATAAGTTGTACGTAACTTGATTGTTCAACTTTTAGCTTTTACACTTGTTAAAAAATTGGAATTCTTTCTAATCTAGACCATTCAGGCATTCACACCAACAATTTCATGGGGTGATAATGGAGCTCGAATCTAATACCCACAACAATATGCTACCCACAAGGCACTTTAGCCGCACATAGGGAACATTCATGGCGAGATGTTCCCATGTACGCCTCTAATAACTTGTGGGCAGTGTTTTTAAACGTAATTGATCCGGACGGTCGGACTCTTCAGAAATTGTTTAGGTAATTGGTTTTGTTTCATCTTTAGTTCGTATTTTGGCCAAAAATAATTAACTTGATCAGTGATTCATTGACCAGACAGTCAAACTATTAATCTGTTCAACCTGGATAGTGCTTTTTAGCAATTTTATTTTAATTATTTTTTTGTTTTTTAAATTAAAACAAATCATCCATTTGAACTAAACGATCGAATCACTGACCGAAAAACCAATAGCCAAAGCGATTCTGATTCCAGATCGATTTTTTAAACAATGCTTTTAGGTATTGTGAATAGCGTTTTTGTATACCGGTTCAGTGATACAAGTATATTGAACATTTGAACTGTTGACAACTTATAATGCTATTCTATTGCTAGGTGCACTTGCGCTGCCAACAATTGTATCCGATCGAATCCTAGGTTATTCATCGTGCTAGTAATGGTTGGGGTATGTATGTTCTAGTTTGAGCGGTTTTTCTTTTTCCTTGGAAACGTAGACTGGAACTTGGCCTTATCAGCCGTTCAAATCAGGATACATCCTACACCGTAAGGCTTGTTTGGTTTGATAGAAAATAAAAGAAAAATGAAAAATTGATTCTCTTACTATTGTTTTGTTTCTGAGGCTCGTTTGTTTGTAATACAAACACTGAATCGTTGTATTTATGTATTGCAGTTCGCGTTTGTTTGATATGTAAAAAGTAATGATTATGAGATGAAAGATGTATTTTTTAAGAGCTTTGTACTCTTAAAAAGAGCATTACTATGCCTATTTTATTGGATACAATTTTGTATTCTTTTGATAATCAACTTTTTAATTAAAGTTAAGGTATTGAAGCATAAATTAATTGGAGCATTTAATGATCGAACCCACACTTATCATCCATTTTAAACAAACAAGATGAATGCAAAAATGATTTAAAATTTGAACCATATTTACATTCATGAACCAAAAAGAGGATAAATATGCCATATATATATTTCATATTTGTATTTGTATTACAACCAAACGCAACCTTATTTTCTAATCTATCCAACCTAACACAGTCTAACATTCAACCCGTTAAACCATAAACCATGTTTCTGTGACCTGCAGGTTCTCCTAATCCTGACGGATTCATAGCCAATGGAATGCTGACATGGCCTATTCAGACGGGACTGTCCATCTCTGAAGTCCGGACTCTGGAGCATCCACTTCTCTGCTTTATTTGTCTGCTTCAGCGCTACTTTCGTAATGCATTCTCTAGTATGAATCGAATAAAAAATACTGAAAACAATTATTCTAATAACTTGCCACGTGGCCAGATAACCATTGCGTTACCCACTGGCAGTGCCATCTCAGCAGTCGACCAAATCAGCCAATCGACATGCGTTTTTTGAAGTTTGAACCTTGTTGTCACGTTTGGTTGGAGGGATTGCATGTTAACTGCGAGAGACATTTGAGCAGTAACCAATGCATGCATGTATACCTGATTCCAACATTCCTCAAATAATTTAAAAATAACAGAACGTGTTCTTGTTATTGTAGCGTAGAATATGTATTGAGATAATTTGGTGCCAACGACTGACTACACTCACGCTCAAATCTAACTATGATTTGGTCAGCTATCTAGAATGAAAAATATACCCCGGAATTAGTGCCCGTGCTTCACTGAAATTTTATTACTTGGGAGGAGAGAAGCATCATCTTTAAATTATTATTGTATTTCTGCGTATATCACTGAATCTACATCAAAGTAAGAGGCAATCATGAAGAGAATATGTTGGAAACACCCATGCAGTAGCTCAAATCCAAGGTCCTGCAGAATTCTTACTCAGCTTCAGAGAGCTCAGATATCAGAGGCCATGAAATATCACTGCTCTGATCACTCTTTTTAATTTCTTCTTCTAATAGAAAGAAACAGTGCCTCGGCATCTGCAGATTCCTTACTTTGGTTGGAAAAGAAATATGAAATTTCATTAGTTTATCACAGTCAATCAAAGAAAAGGAAACAGAAAAATAACCCCGGAAAGGGGGAGAAAAAAAGAGAGAGAGAGAAAGAACCCAGAAACCCTTTAATAAATCCCTGAAGAAATGAAATTAAGATTTTAATACCCAATTAGTTTTCTATCTTCCTATCTCCTCCTTCTGAATATGGAAACTTCATCCACCATCATCAAGATCTACATCAGAGGACTGTTAACAAGCCCATGCCAAGAAGACCCAAGTCCATTCCAGCACTCTCTTCCTGAGTCCACACCGCCCATGCTTCCATCTCCACCAAGCTGCCATGGAAAACCCCACAAGGCCCTATTCTCACCGTCTCTACCTTTACAGAACTCCTGTTTTGTTGTTGTTGTTATTGTTGCTGCTGTCGTCGTCGTTGCTCCAAGCATTTCCTCGTAAGGCAACATCACATCTCCACAACCATCACCACCACCGCTTGCTATCTCTCCCATGTTACCGCTACCAAGCCCATAATAGAGGCTATTGATACCGCTTGGGGCTTCAAGAAAACCACTCCTGAGTGTATCAAGAAAACCGGGAGATATTGTCGTTGTGGAGGTGGTGGTGGTGGTGGTGAGGTTTTCAAGAATATCACAATTGGTAGTACTGAGGTTTCCCAGAATAGAAGCGTCGTGGTTGTCAAGGCTTAACTGCCTAGTGGGTTGTTCCCGGAGTCTAGCAAAGGCAAGGGTGAGGTCATTGGAGTCGTATGGTAAGAGTGGGTGGGTCGGGAGTGGGTTGGAGTTGGTGGTGGTGAGAGTCTGGTCTTGTGTCTTCTTTGAAGATGAAGATCTCTTATTCTTCCTGCAACCTCCGCCTACTGGAACATTTCTCAGTGATCCTCCCTTGGTCCAATACCTCCTGCATGCTTTGCAGAAATACCGTGGTTGTGAGAGGCTGTAGTTGTTATAGTAACAGAACTTGGTATTGGTGGAATCGCATCTTGGACATTTGAGAGCCTGTTCAGGCTGAGGCCTCACTCTCTTCTCTTGCTGTGGTTTCGGGCAAATCAACATGTCTTCTAGCGAGTGCGTAGCCATGGCCTGGATGGATCTCAGAAACACAAAAAGAAACTAAACAATGTTAGAAGGATCTTGTTTTTTTTTTTTTTTTTTGAAGGTGTAATTAAATTTCAATGGAAAAATTATCAGTTTCTAGAGGGTTTATGAGACATCAGTTCAAGGATTCTAAAGCTTAAAGTTTAAGGATCAAAATCGAGAGAGAGAGAGAGAGAGAGAGATCTGTGAAACTGTGACTGAAAATTAGTTCCCGAATTGCTTAAGTTTCAAACTGGCAGACTTTCCATTATCTTCTGGGATTGCGGCTAGAAGAAGAAGAAGAAGGAAAAGATTTTAAAGGAGTCTTATAAAATAAATTAATTGATCTTATAAAAAAATATGTCTTTGGAATTATAACTAGATGATCAGGGAAGAACATGTTTGGAATCCCCCAGGCCTCATCTTCTTCTCATTATTATTTAAACGTTGATGTTCAGATCAAGTGTGTTAGAATTCTTTATTTCTTTTCATTTTCCCCCCTTTTGTTTGCTTTGTGACTCAGAGCCACAAACAAGCCTGTCAAAGCTTGAGAAAACCCACATCATAGGAACCTGACGAAAAGGAAATATACACAATCAGACTGATATTCATGTGTTTTATTTGCTCCATCTTTTTCTATTTTTATTCTGCCCCTATGGAGAGAAAAGAAATTAAAAGTGTACTCAAAATCATTTCTGTTCTGTTCAGACTAATTACTCTAAATTCACTAAAAAACATACGACGATCTTATTACCCTTCTTCAACGAAGAAGAAAAGAGAAAAAGAAGATAGTTGAACAAGTAGAGGAAAAAGAACCAAAAAAAGAGAGAAAGAAGTAGAAAATCAGTTTGTGCTAATTGGAGGTCTCTTCTTACCTGGTGTTGGGCGTTTGAATGATCCATCCATGCAAAGTGCAAACCTGATTTCAGTAAGGCACAGTCATGCAAAGTGGAGGAAAGAAGAAGATGATGAACACCTAAATAAATAAAGCAAAGGAAGAGAGAGAGAGAGAGAGTAATGATTACACCCCGTACGAGATGATCGATGTGTTTGGCTTGCACGCAGAGAAAGCATGGAAAATTCGAGTCGATCTGCAACGGATTCATGAGCGAGAGTGGGTCCCCGTCGCGTGGATGCAACCATACGTGGACCCCTCGGTTCCCCCCACCACCATAGAATCATAGACCACACCTTCCGGTTAATCGTCCAAATACTAGAAAAACTCGGCAACTCGCCGGGTCGGCCTCGTACTAAGGCCACGAGAGTATGAGAACGATTCCTGTCCCACATCTCATGTGGTTTTTGGCCCCGCCAGAAGAACGATTATCATCGGTCACAATTTAACAATGCCGTCGGCGGTCGACCCCACTACCAGCTTGCATGCATGCTTTCCCTTCCCGCCTATTCTCTTCAGAATTTTAGACTAGACCATGTCTACGGTCCATACTCCTTCGTCCCTACAAGTGTCGGACATGCAACCAACAACTTATTGTGGATTCTTTGAAAAACGGTTTGTGGGACCCAAACAAGTCCATTACGATTCTACCTGTCTAAATCTTAACTAATTTTCGTTGATACATCTTTCTTCCTTCCTATCGAGGAATTCCCCACCTGGCTATCTTACACGGATTAAGAGCTACTTGAATATTGAGACCACTGATTTCATTATGTACGTATATGCCTAATAATCTGTCCACGTACATGGCATATTTGTACACGTGGACACCTGAAGTGACGGGTGAGGGACCCAGGAGTTACTCATTTACCCAAACGTTAGAGTCAATATGTGTCGTTGGCTCCTGTTCATTTGAACGAGAAAAAGAGAGATGCAAGAGAAATCCAGAAACCCCCTTCTTGCACCTCTTGCGGTGGGCCACACTCTCTTTTTTTTTTTTTCTAAAAATAGGGTCCACGTTGCCATCATTCTTTACCAGTCACATTAGTTGACTGATCAAACTTACCAGTCAAAGAATTGACGAAGAAAAAGAAGCAAAAGTAGAAGGAAAACTGGTGCCTTAGACATACATTATATATCATAGATATGCTTGTAAAGGGAATCTGGCTCTTCGGGAAAGAATCTACACAGAGAGAAAACTCGGAATGTAGCATGCATGGAATAGAGTTGGAAACCAAGATCCGACCCGCCAGCCTACCCATCTGGCCCTGCAGTTGTCCCGTCTACACTAGAAACAACTCAGCGCATTGGAATGAATTCCTTCTTACCATCTCTGAATGGAAGAACCTGGAGATAAAGATTTGCCCATCAGCTTTACGTATTAGGACTGGTGGCAGCGAATACGTAAATCATATCTGTATTGATATTTTTGGTTTGTTTTGTGTTTGAAACTTTGAATATGTGGAGCGGGAGACGAGGAAGAAATGGCGAGTGGGCGGAGGGCCTACGAGTGAGTGATTAGTCGGTCGGTGAGTGGGGGCCTTGTCAGATGTCGATGTTGCTCTGAACACGTGGCACCCTGATGTTGCCCAGAGTCGAATATTTCGTTTTTCGAGAACAAAAAAGGTAAGGACGGCCGCAGACCTCTCTCTTGTGGCGTTGTCTTGTGGTGGGGATAAGTGTGGGTCCCGCGGTTCTCTCCCCTGTGAAGTAAAGGATAATCTCATTTTCGTCGGTGTTAGGTGGATTCGCCAAGGCCGGGAATGCACTGTAATTTTGCTACGTTGTCACAGGTGATTCTTCGTCGCGCCATCAAGCATCTACAGTGAGTCATCTGCGTGCTTTCGTGGTATCAACGTGTGTGTCATGGATGTGCTTTGCTTGTATTTTGTAAGGGGGATCGTTAATGGCGTTATTGTAATTACTTAATATGTTTTTCCATCATTTTGATGTTTCCTATTGTCATTCCCCCAAAAGCTTAACGTACTCTTTGAGGGGAGGTAGGTAGTCGAGTGAGCTCATAAGCGTGTAAAGGTTAAGCACGAGATCCCCTCGACACTATACTGTATGCTTGTGCTTATCATTGATTAATACAATACAAATAGCCTTTTGCTAATTCATGTACCATCTTATTGCCTTTGTGTGTGTATTTGCTTTGTTTCGTAAGTTTATTCGCCCATTTTAAATACCGGACGGGGCCCCAACGATTACCCCCGTAACAACATAGCAAGTGCGACACTTTCACGAGCGACACGATACCTCCAAACACGTCACCATTTGAAAAACGGACGAGACTAGCTTGTCCATTCGAACCCAACGAAACCAACAGAAGAGTGCGCGATTTCTTTGTTTTTGTTTTTGTTTTTTTTGTATTCGAGAGACATGCACTATTAATAACTTCCCCTTGGCCCTTCCCAAAGTGCGGTTGCGAGATTCGATTTCGCGTCAATAATGAAATAAACTCCGAAGGTACTGTTTTTTGACGTACGAGGTTTTCCCTCAGAGGTTTTCGTTTTTGCTCCCTTGTTTTAATCTAGGGGTTTTATAATAATCTAAAGGGCGTCGGCCGTCGGTCGGACGTTTTATTTTTCAACCTCTTGGGCTTCTCTGGATAGGAAGAGCCTGTTTCAACCGTAAAAAATATGCTCGAGCCAATTTGTGGCGGCGAAACAGACACACCGACGGGCGGCGAAGAGAAAATCAAAATTACATGCGATGTGATATATGCTATCACGCAGGAAAATATAAGCATCAGTCCCTCTCGGGTCTCACGCTCTCAGCTATCACGCTCAACAAGAAGAAGACAAGGAAAACGTAGATGCCTCGAGCCTAGCTGAGTTGATGAGACTTTCGTTTTCGTTTGCGGAACCTATTTTTGGATGATTGTCCTCGTTCGACTGACATGCACAAACAATCAATTAATTGTTTTTTAAAACGGGATCGATCGTGTTTACATTTTGCATGTAAAAGTGAACATATTTATGCATTAGTTTAATAGAAAAATGAGATAAAGAGACAAAATCTTGAGACAATTTCTCAAGAAATTTCCATCAGCTCTTTGTTCCTCTGAACCTTAGGGTATTAGGGCTTAAGAGTTACAGACAAATACGGACAAGCCCAATACAGATTTTTTATTTTCACCGCAAAACTATAAACATTCAAAACGTTAAAAATCCACATTTTATGCATTGGTCCGTAAATTGATATTAATTTCGATTTGGCACCTACCCAAAATGTATTTTAAACTTACAAATTCTAATGTTGGGCTGAACCCGTCATTCTCCCTGAGAGTTAAGGGATTTTTACCATTGTCCATCGAAACTCATTATCTACTCAACCAGAAGGTTCCTTGGTTCTACGAACTAGTGAGTAGTGACTAGTGTAATGATACTGGGTCAAGCCCTGATTCACGGCCCATTAGTTATTGATAACGATTAGACCCGGCTCGGGCCAGGCCGGGATTTTATTCTTCATTAATGGAAAAATGTTAGGCCCGAGCCCGAGCCCGACTTTGATAAAAAGCCCGAGCCCAAAGCCCGACCTAATAAAAGAAATTAGAATTTGCATTGAAATTCTCAGAGAGGAAATTTACTGCCATTAATTTCTAGTTGAGTGGGTCAGAAGTGAGAATAGCCATTTCAAAAAATAGAAAAGGTACACTTCTAGTTTTTAATCTTGACCTTTTTGTAGTGGAATTTGGCGATACAAACTAACTTTGGTTGTTTTGCCATTTGATTCTCTTTGCGGTTTAGGTCTTTGAGCAGGTCCGTATTTTGACATGTAGGAGTGGATTTGACAACCCTAGAACGAAACCTTGCTATGCAGCAACTTTCAATTCAAGAGTAATCTGTAGTATGCTAGCATTCAAATTCTGTACTTTTTGTATTGCAATTGACAGACACTGAACAATAGCAGCACTAGACAAGAACATGAATTGGGGTATTGGGATTTGACTGATTTTAACAATGTGAAAGTCAGCCTTTGGATTTGTTGTAAGTTATGTGCTAAAGTCTGAAATCGTGGTAGTTTAGAAAAGCTACCAAGAAAGAAAAAACTGCATTCAAGACAAACAATAGCATTCAAGCAAGATGATCAAGGCGATTCTGTAACACCAATAGAACAAGCTTAGTTTGTTTACTCTTTTCTATAGTTTCCTCAATTTTCTACACATAGAAGCAAAACAATAGACATGAAAATTAACTACATCAAATAGAAAGGCCCAAATAATAGAATAAAATGGTAAAGAGAACTCACCGCCGCCGCCGGTGATTGTATTCGCAGGAGAGTTCACGGTGAGTCGATGACTGTGGTTTGTGAGCTGTGAGCCTGACCTGTGATTTTGACAATGATCAATTCGCGTCTGAGAATGAGAGAGAGAGAGAGAGCTCACCGCCGCCGCCGGAGTTGTTGCGTCGGTGAACATTCATCGTCTCACCGGTTGTGGCTGCCTGAGAGTGTGAGGATGAGAACTGTGGAGTGTGGAGGATGTGGAGATTGGAGAAGAAGGGTTCGGCTGGAAAAAGAAGGGAAAGAGGCAAAGAGGTGAAAAAAAGAGGGGTACTCGACTAGGGTTTTTACTTAGGTTTAATTATAAGTTGGGCCGGGCTATTTTGGAAAATCCCGAGCTCGGCTTGAATTTATTGCGGACTAGGCTTTTTGGCCCAAGATTAAGCCCGTGGGCCCATATACCTGTTCAAGCCCGTCCGGGGGCCGGGCTGAGCCGGGCCGGCCCGTCAGGCCACCCGGCCCATGAACAGGTCTAATAACGATAAAACATTGGCTAACCGCATTTCAATAGCCTTCACTTCGGGCTTTTCCATCTCTTCCTTGGGTACAGTTATAGTGAGAACTATATTCACCATCGCCGCCTTCACCTGTCCACCTTTGCATTCTCCGGTAACCAGAACCCATGGAGGAACTTGCCGCTGCTGCACTGGACTCAGTGCCACTTATCGTTCTTCTCCTCGTGTTCTCTGCTGCATTCTCCACTTATTTGGAGGACTCTATCTTCGTGAAGTTCAAATTTCACTTCTTGAGATCAGGAAGGTCAACTTTGAAGATATGGTCTTCTAGGGTCTCCATCCAA